GAGATGGCCAACTGCACCGAGGAGCCCAGAGACCCCGTCAGCAGCCCGAAGACCGCCTGAACACCGAAGAACGTCCCGGCCGCCAGCGGCGACAGAATCACCAGGCACGCCGGCGCCACCATCTCGCGGATGGAGGCCTGGCACATGAAGCGACTTCATGATCTTCATGCGATTTCCACATGCAGATGGAACTTTGGGCTCACCATGGCTCACCTGAATCCATGTAGCTTATTTCATCCTATTTCTATTTAGTTTCTTTGAGTTTCTAAACGTTTTCATGACACAGCTGGCGGCACCTGCGTGGAGATCTGGATGCACGTCTTGCTGTCAGGTTTCAGCTCGGTGCTTCCGGTGAGCAGCGTCTTGCCCTTGGAGTCGACCTTGCTGAACTGGCGCTGGACCTCTGCCACCATCTCACCTGGCCGTCCCATGATTTCACGAGGGTTTGGGCTTTGCCTTGTGGCATTGGCAACCTGGTCAGTGTAGTTGGCTCAGAGTCAATTTTCGCAACCGACATGCTCCTGAACAAACATGCTCCTAATCAAACACGGTCCTGAAACACATTGAATGCAGGAAACTGGGATCGTGAAGCAAAGGAACCAAACATAGTCTGCATGGCTAAAGCATGTTAAAATATGTTAAAGTTCAGCATAGTTCAGCATTAAAAATGGCAGCATGCAGCATGACATGGAATAAGAAACAACTTAAGCTCTCAAAGCTGATACAAGCTGATCATTTCTCTCTTGCTATTGCTGGCGAGTTTCCAATGTCAGGAGGTGTCTCGTTTCAAATCTTTAAAAAAAAACAGGAATTCCTAATTGCCCCATTGGCAGGTTGTTTGAAATACCCGTGTCGCCTGCAGCCTTTCCCACGGACTTCATGGTCAAAGCCGCGAACCAGTAGGGGATCATGCAGCCGATGATGAGGAAGGCGAAGGTGGTGGGCTCCAAGATGTTCACGCCCGTCTTCACCCGCAGACGGATCACGAAGGCGCCGTACCTCAGTCGGACGGGTCTCAGGCCGAGGAGGATACAGTAGGAAACTAGCTCCAGGACCTACCCCAGTCCCCGGCCCCCAACACATCCCCCGGCCGCCATGGGTTGCAACAAATCCACAAATTGAGAATGCCCCAACATGCCCCAACTCCATCCAACTCCAGCATCACCCGCTGCCAGGGCGCAGGGCCAGGGACACCAGGGCTGCCGAGCCGATGGCGAAGCCCTTGCCGATGGCCGCGGTGGTGTTGCCCGCCGCGTCCAGGGCATCGGTGCGGCGACGCACCTCCGGGTTGAACAGCGCCATCTCCGCGATGCCGCCTGGGCCAAGCTGGGGCAAGCTGGGGCAAGCTGGGGCACATGGTGCTGAGGTGTCAAGGTGGTCTGGACCTGGTCTCAATTAAAAATGCGATCTGGTCTTTAAAAAAAGAGGAAAAAGTGTGGCTGGGAGCTATGGGTTTACTCTATCGCCTGCGGTTTCAACACACGGATTGGAGGTCTGGATAGTCAAAAAAGGAGGAAGAACGATGAAAAAGATGACACATCCACCACCGGCACCTGCGTTGTCGCTGATCGGGCCGAAGCCATCGATGGTCAAGCCGCAGCTCAAGGTGGCCAACATGCCCAGGGCCGCCAGCGCAATGCCGTAGAGATCGCAGAGCTGGAAAGACACAAAAATGGCCTCAGCTGTGGAAAAGAACAGATCACTGGCACAAGCTCCCATATAGAAGAATTAGACTATAGCAGCATGGCAGCATAAGTATATTTCACATTATTTCACCATATTTCTCCAATTTTCTCTGTGCATCTTTTTGATTACTACAGGTAGGGAACTCAGTTGCAAAAAGACCATAAAAGCCCCACCTCTGGTCTTATTTTGTGCTCTTAAATCCAAAATCCCAGCAGCTTAGCAGCTTAGCAGCTTAGCAGCTTAGCAGCTTAGCAGCTTTAGCAGCTTAGCAGCTTAGCAGCTTAGTCCAACCATTGCACAATGGGAAAAAGTCCTGGGACACTTTTCTCAGACTCCTCCAGCCAAAAATTATCCAAAAACATCGATTCTTCAATTCTTCAACTTCTACCTGGACCTGGACCCTATACCTTCAATCCAAAATCCCAGCAGCGGAGGAGAGCACGAAAACGGGGATGATGCAGCTCTTGTAGCCCAGCGCCAGGCCCTGGATGATGTTCACAGCAGTGCCGAACTTGCAGGCCGAGGCCAACTCACGTGTGGGGATGAAGGAGTGAGATGTGAAGTACTCGGTCACCAGGCCGATGATCAAACCACCGACGCAGCCCATGGTGGCGCAAATGAAGGCCTCGCAATCTCAAACCCCTGCTTGGGCCGTCCCGCTTACTCGGGGATGGGTTTGATGTATAATCTTGGGGGTTGGCCACAAATGAGGTAGAATTTGGTAGAAGACGCAGTTTTGGAGACGGAGGAACTGCGCCAAACTGCCAAACATTTCGGGATGGTTTGGACTGCCGGAACTCTCCAACCCCCCCGCCTTGAAGGGCGTGCCATGGATCTCGGCCTGAATGCCATCTTCATTGAGTCTCACACCCTCCAAGCGGAAGTGCGCCGGCAGCAGCAGCACGGCCAGGTAGTAGATCACAGGCAACATCAAAAGTGCCGTCAGGACCATCTGAACCTGGGCTCGGGCTGAGATTGGCTTTGCACCTTTAAGATGCCCTCCCCTCCAACCCACCAAAAGCAAAAGAAAAGCATCTCAAAAACGACGTTGTCCAACACACCCCACCTTCAGCACACGCTCGATGTCTGCCTCGACCTTCACGGGTGCCACATTGGTGGCCACAAAGCCGCAGAGGATGCAGATCACGATGCCCGCAGCGGAAATGGCCACAGGGAACAGCATGGCATCCTTAGTGACGGTAGAAGCTTTCTAGCTATGGTGGCAGGTTCTGAGCAGGTCCGATGCAATTATTCCATACTCATCATTACTCATCCACAATCATCCATCCTCCCCTTCCCCATTGTTATCCATTGTTGAAGGCTTCTGCAGTACCCAACAAATCCCAACAACAGGAGAAAGTCCATTGCCAGCCATGTCTCCCAGCCCGCAGCTGACAAGGTGTGCTTAGATCCCTCTACGGCAGCAGCCGCGATGACCAAAGCAGCGCAGGTGCTCTCAGCGAAGGATCCAAAAAGATCAGCTCCCATCCCTGCGATGTCACCTGAGTTTGCATCGGCTCAGCGTCCGACAAAGACCCCAAACAAAACATGACAAAAATCATCAAAAATCATTGCTCAGCAGGCCCCAGCTGCCCACAGCTGCCCAGAAAAAAATGACAAGACTTGTTTGCCATTATTTCTCACATCGGGCAACCTGCTTTTTCTTCTTTGAACTTGCAATCAGTGCTTCACTTGTTCTACAAAAAAATGAGAATCAGCTGGTGGCCAATGCATGATAATGCATGCCAATTCACCCACATTGTCGCCCACGTTGTCCGCGATGGTGGCAGGGTTGTTGGGATCATCCTCATCCAAGCCAGCCACAACCTTGCCGCAGAGGTCCGCACCCACATCCGTGGCCTTGGTGTAGATGCCGCCGCCCACACGGCCGAACATGGCCACAGTGCTGCCGCCCAAGCCGTAGCCTGCCGCGCAGTCGAAGAGAATCTCCCAGTCGTCTGCCTCAGGGTAGACGGTGCGGTAGAAGGTCAGCAACAACCAAAGGACAAACACACCCAGAGAGCACAAGGCGTAGCCCATGACACTTCCACCCCGGAAGGCGGTGTTGAAGCCCTCAGTGTAGCCCTTCTTTGCACAGGCCAAGGTGGTACGTGCGTTGGAGTAGGTGGCAATCATCATCCCAAGGAAACCGCACAACATGGAAGTGAAGGCACCTGTCAAGAAGGCACCTGCTGTCAAGGCTCCCTGAGTGGAGCTGTGCGTGCCCCAAGACACCAAGAAGTAGATCACCAGGGAGAATGCCAAGCAGAAAAGGCAGCAAATTGCATACTCCACCTTCAAAAACTGGATGGCACCATCCATGATCTTCGCGTAAATCTCTGGCACCAATTTTTCAGGGACTTCGCCCGTCAATGAAGTGGACAGTTCCTGCTTCTCCGGGTCCAAAGAGATCTTTTTAATGATCAAAAATTGCACCAGGGCAGCCAGCAGGCCGATGATGCATGAGGGGACGATGATTTCGTCCACGAGACCAAAATGCATGGCGTCCGAGTGTGCCAAGCTCGTGGCTGATGTTGGTCACTGTCTACCCTGGTCCCTGTCTGGCTGTGCCAACCTGGTGCGACACCTTGGAGTAAAAGTCAAATAATTGTATCGTTCCCCGACCCCCGCAGCTGGTTTTCCGCATTTACTTCTACTTCCCCACCTATTTCCTTGATTAAATTTGCATTGATTTTCCTGCGATTATCCACGTGCATCAGTGCATCTTCTTTTTTTGCCTGTATAGTTGTTGTGGTGCGCAATTTTGCGCGAATTATTTATTTTGGCATTGTTTCTTTCCATGTTTCTCGCGGCTTTTTCCCCAAACAGCAAGTTTATGCAAGTTTAATACAGGAGATACATATACATGTGCAGGTAAAGCTGCCAGAGCGGAAGTATATATCACGCACCTGAAGCACGGAGGGGCACGGACAATATCGGACAATACACTGTCCGAAGAATTCGGCACCAAGGTTGCACTATGGGCTGTGGGTGAACGAGGGTTTCTTCACACATCATGGGACTGCCGCATCACCAAGGCCTCTTTTTGCTGTGGCCGCGCTGTGCGGTTTCCCAAGGCCTCCGATCCGAGCATATCTCAAAGATCACGGGCCGTGGCTACCAAGATCGCAATATCCGACGGATACCTGTTACAGTTGGCCTAGAGTTCAGCAGTCTAGGAGCCCAATTGTGTGGAAACAAACTCACCAAAACTCGGGCCGCCAAAGCCGCCCATCAAAATATGACATAAAGAATTCTATAACGTGTTGTATCGATTTGTACTGTTTTCATCAGTTTTCAATTTCCATTCTCTAGGGCTTTTGCACCATCTTGAGCTCCCAGTCTACCGCAGAAAACGACATGGCATGAATGACATGCCACACTGGATCACATGAATCCATGTGAATCCGTTGATGCCTTACTTACTGCACCTGGATCAATCCGTGGCCATGGTTGATGGCCGCGAAGTAGGCCGCAAAGACCAGGGACACGATGGCTTGGAGCTTCATCACGATGTTCAGTGCAGGGCCCGAGGTGTCCTTGAAGGGATCTCCCACGGTGTCGCCCTGCACGGCAGCGTCGTGGGCCTCTCGAGCCTTGGGCGCCGCCTTCTTCTCCTCCTCAGTCTGGGGGTTCTTAGTGTAGCGCAACTCCACGTCCTGAGAAGGGCACCGAGCAGGGAACTAAGCTTTCAGGCACCCAGTTCTTGGAAGAAGCCCTGGTGGTTGCCCCCAACATCCCCCAAGCAACAGCCTAGCCTTCCATAGCCTTCCTCCACCCCCTCCCAACTTCCTCCCTTCCAACCCCTTCCCCTTCCCACCCGACCTCGGAGAAGCCGTTCTTGATGTACTTCTTGCAGTTGTCCCAGGCACCGCCGGAGTTGGACATGGAGATGGCCAACTGCACCGAGGAGCCCAGAGACCCCGTCAGCAGCCCGAAGACCGCCTGAACACCGAAGAATGTCCCGGCCGCCAGCGGCGACAGAATCACCAGGCACGCCGGCGCCACCATCTCGCGGATGGAGGCCTGGCACATCGAGCGACTTCATGATCTTCATGCGATTCCCACATGCAAATGGAACTTTGGGCTCACCATGGCTCAATATGGCTCACCTGAATCCAGGTAGTTTATTTCATTTTATTTCTATTTAGTTTCATTTAGTTTCTAAACATTTTCATGACACAGCTGGCGGCACCTGCGTGGAGATCTGGATGCACGTCTTGCTGTCAGGCTTCAGCTCGGTGCTTCCGGTGAGCAGCGTCTTGCCCTTGGAGTCGACCTTGCTGAACTGGCGCTGGACCTCTGCCACCATCTCACCTGGCCCCAGATCCTCTTCACATAGAAGTTTGGGGGTTTCCTTCAATTCAAGAATTGGAAAGTGCAATTGGTTTTCAGGAAAATCTTTGATTAATCGTAGACATGCGGATCCGGGGGCTGCACGCAGTAAAATTTGGCAGCAAAATGCAAAAACAGGAAAATGCACTATTAAACTGGACAAACAAATGCATCATTAACATTCATTAGCTCATAATCAACTTGAAAACACAACAGGCACAACACATCTTTGAGGATTTGCGTGTGTGTGTGTGTGCGCGCGCATGATTTTGCTTTGTTTTGCTACAATTAGGTGGTATTGCCAGGAGATGACATGACATGACATGACATGAAACAACCCTAAGAAACTTCGGAACGACATGGACGAGACCCCAGTCCCGAATCTGTATGAATTTTTTGGTTCGATTCGGAATGCCCGTGTCGCCTGCAGCCTTTCCCACGGACTTCATGGCCAGGGCCGCGAACCAGTACAGTCAAACGACAAGTTCATGCCTAACTCATGCCTGGGTTAAAACTTGCTAGTAGATCACCATGGAATCGCTGATTCAAGAAACTCATGCCTAAGTCATGCCCAAATCTTCAAACACCATGGAATCGCGTATGTATAAGAAGAATGTTTTCACTGAGTTTTCACACTTGGGAAAATCAAATGTTCGCAAAAATCCGTTTACAGTTAGTTGCAGTCTACCGTTCATGTTTCTGGGGTTGAGAAATGCTTGCCGCTTCCGTCCGCTGACTCTTTTCGCTTTGCTGACTCTTTTCGCTTTGCTGCTCTCAGGTAGATAGTCAGAGGAAGAGAGAGAAAGAGAGAGAAAGAGGAGACATCAACCACCTTTCGGTCCATCAGTGGCTTCGCTCTACCATCCGTGATTCACAACAACCAACCTCTCCTCTAGGTTTCCTATTTTTGAAACCACGACGTGCCGAACGACGTCCGAACGACGTAGCAAACGACGTCAAAAAATAACGAAGAAAGGCTCTCTGCCCACCCGCCTGCGGAACCACATAAGAAACTAAAACCGACACGAAGACACAACAATGACCCTTCTCACCTCCATCTCAAGCAACACGCTGAAGTGCCACAATGCCGCGTTGAGCACGCAGTGAAAAATGAAATGGCTGCCGCGGGAAAAACAAAATAACCCGAGACATTGAACACACTGACACAGGAAAGAAAAAGATAGAAACACCAACTAATCGCTACACTCACATCCAGTTTGACTCGGTATGGAAAAGGTTACTCTTGATGCTACACAACCTAACTGCAAGGTTTATTAGCAAAAATTATTCCAAAAAACCCAATCCAACAAAACATTGCAATTCCTATGCGTTTTAGCGTTTTACAAAAAAAGGCACGACTTTTCAAAGTGCTCCCCAGCTATTCACGATGATTTCCAAATTTTAGGCACGACTTTAGCAGTCAACTGTAGTTGAAAAAACGTCGTTGAGCTGCTGCAGCCCTCGAAGTCGCTGCAGCAAAGGAGAGCCAGAGGCTCTAAGCAGCAGGGAAGCGACGCGCCCACAGCGCCTCGCGCATGCCGCCGCCAAATGTTCGAGCACGGCTATGTCCGCCTTAGTGGCTGGCCAACCCAGGCGAGACAGGAGAGGAGGCATCGTCGACACCTCAGCTAGCAGGCGGCGACTGGCCGCGGTTGCCTCACACTTCAAAACAAGTGAAAAGAAGTGCCACGGTGTGCGTTGCAGAGCGAGCACACATCCGAGACTCCAGAACCCTTGGAGATGGCATACCAAGCATCGCTAACGAAAGATCCTAGCAAGATGCTCCGAAAATGTGGACCTCTAGAGAGGGCCCCCCTGATCAGAGACCAGTCAACTTGATGAAAATTGCACAGCAAATCTTCACGTGTGTGATTTTCTAACAACAAAGCCACCTCGTGCCTAGAGCGGTTCAACCAAGATGCGTCTCCAACTGTGTCTGATGGCACGTAAACAAGCCTGAAGGGAATCCCGAGAGAAACGAATCGTGGTTTCACTGTGCACACACTGTTCAGTTTGCATCTCAGACTGGTGCCACGCCAGGAGGCGCTGTCTTTTTTTCCAGCCGCTGCGCTGCAGAAAATTGCTCAAGAGTTTCCAAGTGGTGCCTGCCCTGGTACTTTGGATGAGCAAGTCACAAGCTTGTAGTCTGGTGGCTCTGGACCAAAGCCTTTGCCCGAGCACTGCATCAAGGTGGCACCGAGCTCCATACAGAATGGCCCGAATGTGAGCCGAAGCCATACGATTGGTTGTGTCTATTGCGATCGAGGAAAAAACTCTATTTCTTGACAGGCCATCTTGCAACCCAGCCGTAGGAAGCTTTGCTAACGACCAGGCTTTGACTGGCCGCAATCAGCCGATCCAAGGACAACCATGTCTTTCTGATCAAGGCCGCGCGGTTGCACGCGTGGTTGATGCGACTTTGTTCCAGAGGCGACATAGTCCGAGGCTGCGCAACCGTACTGACGAGATACCGCGGCCCATTTGATCCATTTGTGGATCTGCTCGTTGATCTCTTACTGGGTAGCGGCCCAAAAAGTGCGGTCGTCCATGTAGACGCATTGCTTGATGTTGGTACCACCGCGGGTCCGGCGACATCCGGCCGAAGTGACCACTGCCAGGAGCATTGGGCTTAAAGGACAACCTTGGGGTATGGCCCCATCAACATGGAGGGGACAGCTATCGATGTGGCTGTCCACCGTTGGTGGACCTGGCAAATTCAGTCACAAAGATGCCGAGGCCATCCGAGCTTTTCCAAGGCATCAGTGACAGCCGCAGGGTGAAGATGATCAAAGGCCTTGCTCCAGACTCGCCCTTGCGAGCGTGGCGATAGTGATCGCTGGTTTGAGCAGCAGCGTCTTCAGCTCCCAAAGTGCCAGGAAGACAGAACTTCAGGGTGGATGTGCTGAGACAACCAAATTTGCGCATCCGGGCTTTGCAACAGGGCTTTTGCAAAGATCCGCCACCAAATGGGCAGGATGCTGATAGGGCGAGTTTCTGTGACAGGCAAAGAATGGTTGTCAAGGACCCGGTTCTCCTTTGGAAGGTTTGCTTGCCGAGCTTCACGGAGGGCCACGGGGACCTGGTGAGCACAACCCCAGCGAGCAGTCACGGTAAGAAAACTTGAATGATGCTTCCAGGAAGCTATCGGACCTCTTCTGCAGAAAGGCCATCAGGACTGGCCCGCAGCTCTGCGGGGAAGGACTGGACGGTGTAGTTAGTGATATCGGCAAAGGATGGTCTCTGATCATCCTGCTTTTTCCAGACCTCGGTCCAGTAATTCTTGATGAGCTTGGTGGCTTCCTGGCGGTTCCAAGCAATGTGATCACCATGAGTAAGTACGACTGGTTTGCAGTCGCTTTCACGCTGACGAACACAACGGCTGAGGTGCTTCAGGTTAGGTTGCTTGATTCGCTCCTTCCAATTCAGAAGACGCAAGCTTTTCTGTTCGTCTTCTTCTCAAGTCTGATCCGCCTTCGCGTCGGCGATTGCATTGTTGCAGAGTTGCCACCGCGAAGCGAAGTTGTCACTGATTGGGCGGCGCCAAAGTTTGCGACAAAGCAACTTGACTTGAGGCTCACGTCGCTGGCTGTCATTGTTTTGCAGAAGCCGGCGGAGCTCATAAAGTCTGGCCAGCCTTTCGCTGATGCGACGAAGCTTCTCATTTCGTTCATCCTTGCCTTGAGGAGCAGCGCGAAGGTGAACAACTTGGTGAATGCCCAGGCCACCTTTAACAAAAGAAGCTCCAGCTGAGTGCAGGGAATTCCTTGACAGTGCTCCCGAACCTGGGCGTCTTCGTGGCTAAGCAATGCTAAGCATAGCTCGAAAGGTGCTGCGGAACATCTGGTCAATGCACCTCATGAACATGGTCCATTCCTGATTTACATCGAGCTCAGCAGAAGCCAGCTGTTGAGTAAAAGCGAAACCTTCAGAGCTGGCTAAAGAGTCTTCCCAAGCAGTTTCAAGCTGCATAGTCCAAGCCTCGCTGGTAATGGCAGGGGGCTTGAGCCACTTCGGACCAGGTTTCAGGCGGCCGTGGCAGCGGGCGACCTGCACCTCTTCTTCTTTATTGGTCAACAAAGAGCAACGGATGGGGATGTGGTCACTAACTGCCTGAGTCCCTTGGCCTTCCCAATGAATGGAATGAGGAATAGCCGTGAAATGACGTGAAGAACCCATCGGTACGCTTGTGGTCAGTGATGACAGCAGCCTGGTACTCAGAAACCAGGTTCGCGAAAGGCGAATCTGTCGAGTCCTGATTCAAATCGCCCATGCCAACCCACGGTTTCTGATGAAGTTGATTCCGAATGTGAACAGAGATGAAGGCTTCAATCAAATCGTGATGACTGCCAGGGTGACCATATAAACCAACCAGAGCAATGCCTTTAATCCAAATCAGAATGCTTTGCGCCAAGCCGCAAGAAATTTTGTCACCGAACCGATGGGGCACCCCTTTCGATCAGAAAACAAATCCACCGCGGGCAAAACCTCTAGTGGATTTGGGGCCCTCGACATGGTAAGCGGAGAAACCCTTGTTCTGCCCGGAGCGCTGGAATTTTTTCCAGGTTTGATCATGCATATGAGTCTCTTGGAAACAGACAATGTCATGGCTGGGGGCAACTTCGCGGAGAGCCCTCCACGCTCCGGCCTCTGATTGCACATTTAAGCTGGAAATGCTAAGTTTCTGAGCTTGAGACGAAGCAGGACCTGGGTGTGGTTCCACACCTTGCTCCACAAGTTTCTGAAATTTCTGGTCTGCCAAAGCGTTGTCCTTGGCAGCTTTTTCTCTTTCTCTTTTGCGGCCGCTGTTGGAAACGAATTCAACCGTGACCTTCCAAAGAGCAGAAAGGATGGCTTTGTTAGAATGGTCAAGCTGGTTCCAAAAGAAGGCACTCTGTCTCGGCTTGCTGCAGGCTTGTTTATCCCAAGCCTGATCATAGGAGCCAAAGTGCCAACATTTGACACAAGTGTATCTAGGGGTTTCCCTCTTGCTGCCTGGCCAAGTGGCAAGGTCGGGTTGCCAGCGGACCAACTGGTGACCACCTCTGTTCATGTCCCTTGCAGCCTCATGGAAAGCCGCGTTTCCGGGTTTCTTTGGAGCCTGCAAACCAAGCTGCTGTCTACGCCTAGCTCTGGCCTTTCTTTTGTTGGACTGATCAAATTTCCGTCTAGGGTGTTTGCTAATATAATGATGAGCAATGGACCTCTCCCCTTGATATTTCGTCAAATTGGGCAAAGCATCATCACAAAACGCACAGGTCCAACATCTTTGATCAACCGGGATCGCCGAAGTAGCCTCCAAATCTCAACCGGAGGTTTAAAAGGTCTATCAGCGGGAATGAAGTTCCTGTTGTGCTTTAAAGCAATATGTTTCTGCCGTTTTTCCTGCAACTTTTTCTTGCTAGTGGCTAGTGGCATGAAAAACAGAAATACACTGACTGCAAGTCCAAACAAAAGGCTGGTCTCCAATGTTGACAGCGGTGACTTGAGAACTGCTTCCAGGTTTGCAGACTTCCAGGTGTGAACCGACGGGGTAGGAGGGGCGCAATCGCCACCAGCATCAAGAAACAAGGAGAGGACGGTGGCGACAGACCGCGCGCGAACCGACACACGAAGCCGCGGAAGCACCGAGACGGGGGGATGAGGAATGACAAGGACATGACCCGAACGCGTCAACACACAAGGTTTTATGGCGCAGCCGACACCTGGGAACCAATGACCCGGACGTGGACATCACAGAATGGACCGAGGGAGCGGGACACTCGGAGACCGGACTGCCAACACCGTGCAAAGGGGAAGGGTCAGGCTGAAGGGAATGGACACTGAGAAACGTCCTGCCACGACATATCGAGTCCAAATCGTGGCATCGTTTTGTTGCTTTTCTTCCCATATGATTATCGGTTGACCGATTTTTCCGAGGTAGCCTGAATAACCTTGCCATCGGCACTTTTGCCAGCCCGGGACATGGGCTGCACCCATCTCTCAAATGAGGCTTTGTTTTCAAAGAGCTCAGCATAACGGCTAGTCTAGTACTTTTTCAAATGTAAACAGGACTGAGCCCTGATCCCAGCTCGATCATGAGTGCTAGATCGATTCCTTTGAAGGTTGATTCACAAGCTTCTTATTGGAAAAAACAGAAGTGGCCCTGAAGAAACAATCTCCTTCTCCACCCGCATCCCAACGTTGCCAACCGAGCGACTTGATGGCTTCATCAGGGTCGCTTGGGTCGAGGTTCCTGGTTTTTTTTGGTCTGATGTTCAACGTCAGATTCCTGATCAGTATCAATTTGCGCGTGAGCGACTGGAAGAGTTCGACTTCGTTCCAGGCGTTCGCCGGAGGCTGTGGCCGTCGCACGACCTTGCTGTGTCAACACAGGCACTCCTTGCTCCTCTTTGGCGGGAGCGTCAGCTGGAGGTACCTCAGTTGTTTTTTTGTCCTGCTGCGGCATAAACATGGCAAGGGTTCGTGATCTGCGAGGCGCCGCAACGGGAACTTGCTGCGGAAGTTGCTTCGGGGTGTGAACATCGACTTGAATGGTCACCGTATGGCACGTCTGGTCACTGGTATCGGTGAGGTTGAAAATCCAAGTGTCCCGTGTCGCTTCTTGAGCCGGACAAAGCCCGAAAAAGGCCCAAGCGGCGCGTCTTTTGGTGACCGCGGAAACCTCAGTCCAGCCTTGGTCACTCAAGAATTTACTGATCTCTTCTTCCCCCATGCTCTAGGGACATGGTGGACAACGTGTCTTCTGGCTTTCCGAGGTTTGGAGTCCCTAAACTGCAAACAAGACCAAATCTGAAAATGACCGGCTGTTTGCGTTCCTTTTTCAAAGCAATCACTCTGCGGTGATATGTTTCATAAGACTCCTGTGTTTCTCTTTGCACGCAAAAAGTCTGCATTTCACCCGGTTGCTTTTTGATTTCAGTACAGAAAATACCCTGTTCCCCGCTTTTTTGAACCAAGGTGTCAACCAAAGAGTCCTTCAAGTGGAGGAAGGTCACAAGCTGGCATCCTGCTTTGGGCTTTTCCTGCTCTGTCAATCTGCCGCCGCAGAACTCCGAGGCGGAAACCTGAGTGAGACCAACCAAAGTTTGGATGACCTGAGTGGGAATGTCCTTAATGCTTGCGCCGAGCCACGGCGCGCGAAAACACGCAGGGGCAGCTATGCGCACTGTCTTTCGTTGAACTTGTGGCACCTTAGTCATTTCCACTTTCCGAGCTTTCGGAAGCCAAGGTCCCGAACCTTCACCCACAGAAATTAAAGCCACATGTTCGATTTTTGACCAAATTCCCCACGGGTAAAAGCGAAACTGGAAAAGGTTGCTCCCTCAACGTCTTTGGCTGCCCCGCACAGCACCGCTGTCAGCGGCTTTCTCGGGTCAAAACATGACCGGAGTGTTTTGAGTTCATCAAAAACTTTTGGGTCCCATATCTCAACCAAGTTACCTTGAACCGGCTGGTTGGATTTGAGGCTTGTTTCAACACAGGAAAGGAAACCAACTTAGGGGGACAGGAAGTTTCCCAATCAGCTGCTCGCGCCGCAGAGATCCAGCACCTGTCTCTTGCTTGGATTTTTTTCTCGTTTCTCCGGGGCTTTGGCTGGACCTGAGGCTGCACGGTCACGTGCTTCTGAGGCGGCGGCTCGTCCTTCAACCAATTCCACCAACCTGAGGCGTCGATCTGGTATCGACGTGTCTGTCCTGAGCTATACACCCGGGTCCTCACTTCAGGTTGGGCGCTGTTTCACTTTCCGTTTCATTTTTGCAGCTTGGCGATCCACTGGCGCCGAGTTACTTACTGACTCCAACGTTTTGAGCACCTAAGTCATGGAAGTGCCATGATTCAAACATTGCTTGAGCATGCCAATCAGGTGTCTGGTGACATCGGCAGTCCGATGAGCAGTGTTGGTCTTTTTCCTACGGCTCAGCTTTTTCCAAAGGTTCGACCCGCCTCCAGTGAAAAGGGCTGAGGTGATGGAGCTGAGGTTAGCTACTAGAAAACCGAGACCACCCCAGGGGTTCAGGTTTGACAGCAGCAGTTTCGACAGGAGTCTTGAGTCCCTGCGCCTTTGAGCCAGAGCATCTGTATCGCTTTCTTTGTCAGCCAAGTGCCTACATCGGACCCTAGCTGGTCTAACACGTCTACCTGCCACCCTTCTATACAAGGTAGCCAACGCCTTTGACCAGTTCTGTCGAGGTGGAAGGAAACCCGCCTAGCCCTAGCAAGTCTAAAACTTTTCCTCCGAGGCTTTTTTGGGGGACCGGGAGAACCACCAACAAGCCAGGTGACCAAGGAAGCCAGTAACAAAAGACAAAGCCACCAAGGTTTCCCGGGGTGAAAACAAACAGCACACCACTGGGCCCAAACGAAGCAGCTATGCCAAGGTTCGTCAAAGGACTCCTCGGCCTCGTTTGCTCTTGTAGGCACAAGCGGCATGCATCCGCGCAGCGCGGCCGCACGCAGCACAATGGCTACGGTGCTGTCGACCGTCAGGTTTTGGGAGCCATTTAGGCTAGGTGACAGAGAGTGGGAAGGGCAAGTCTGGGAAGCAACAGCAATGGGAAAACCCACGCACAGCAGCACCAGCCAACTGCACAGGCTTTTTTTCCTTTGGTGATCTGGGACATTCCAGACTCTTTTTCAGTCTTCGCAGTCACAGACTGGGTGACCTGGGAAATACCAGGCTCTTGACTTCTAAGTCCCTTGCACGTCATTGTGTTCTTTTGTTTTTCTTTGTTTCTTTTTTGTTTTGCTCTTTTGACATTTTTTGGGTATCTTTTGACTGAATTCAGCAATCTATGGACAATTTGCACTGCCGCTTGAGACACGGCAGCCCGAGCGCGCCAGACAGCTCGAGACAGAGGGCGACTTTGATTAATCGTAGACATGCGGATCCGGGGGCTGCACGCAGTAAAAATTGGCAGCAAAATGCAAAAACAGGAAAATGCACCATTAAACTGGACAAACAAATGCATCATTAACATTCATTAGCTCATAATCAACTAACTTGAAAACACAACAGGCACAACACATCTTTGAGGATTTGCGTATGTGTGTGCGCGCGCATGATTTTGCTTTGTTTTGCTACAATTAGGTGGTATTGCCAGGAGATGACATGACATGACATGCAACAACCCTAAGAAACTTCGGAACGACATGGACGAGACCCAGTCCCGAATCTTTATGAATCCCAAAGGATCCAATGTATGCAAATATTACCAACATTCGGCAATGTCAGCGATTTTTGCCTACATTCGCATTTATAGGCCAATGTAGGCTTGTATCCCTTAAATTCGGCAAATTGGTTTTCCGACAGTTTCCGTTGTTTCCGACAACGTTTAACGGCCCAAGTCAAAGCAAAACAAAAATCGACATGTAGGAAGGTTAGGTGCCAATGTGGCACCAAAGTAGACCCAACCAACAGCAAACATGGCATTTCATACTTGATACCAACAAGGCAAGCGGCAGTCTAGGGCAAAACAAAATATATAAGTGACAGTGGCAGCATTGTTTTGCTGACCCGCAATTTCCCTCATTTTGATAGGTGTTCCAAGTTACACAGCAGCAAAAATAACAAAGGGATGAACTAAGAATATGAATTGCAAATATTTGCAATATTTCATTGCATTTCATTCATGATACGAATGTATGGGTTGGAACACAGTCTCCAATAATATGTTGATATAGATTGATCATTGTACTTTATCATGTGTGCGAGTTGTTGGGTGTAAATGTGGGACCTGTTGCAAGTTCAAGGGCAAATGCAATGAATGGGATAAATTGTTGGGCGATCCATTTTGCTATTCAATAGATACATGGTTGTTTTCCCTCGGTTTGCTACCAGCCGTTTGCAAGTTTTCCTTGGAACATGTTTATGTATGGCTGTGAGGAGGCCAGATTGTTACAGCTATAGCTTTGAAACTTTGAAATTATTTGGGGAGGTTGCAGTATGTACCTCGCAAAAAAAGCAAAAAAGTTAGTACAATTTATTAACCTGGAAGCGTTACCCTGATACAGCTTCCGAAGATCAGATTCTCAATGCTCGCCCCAAGACCATGAAGTTCATCATGGAGTTATGTTCTTAGATTTGTTCACACCCGAATATAGACAGAAAAATTTCATCAAAATTCAAAAAAACTCATTTAACCTAATGATTTCATAAATTTGTCCTTGCAACTTTTTTTTGCTGGTTGATCAAAGGGATGTGGCATGTGCCGACTCGATGCCACCAAAACGACACGGTATCCTTGATCGGCTCACAAAAACATCGCTGCCAACCACCCTGACCTATGGACGCGGCGATTGCTCAAACAACATAATAGTCATAGTCTTACAAATGTCTTCTGTCAGGAAAGGTCAAAGTGCTGTAGTGCTCAGTTCTGACGGAAAGCACACCTGTTCTAATTTTTGTGAATTCAATACCTGTAACTGTAACTCCTCAACTAGAGATGCTGTACAGTAGATAAACATTCAATATGCAGGAAAGTAACCACAAATAAGCGCCAGTTGAAGACACTCTTCATTTCAGAGCGGGTCTCAGGAAGAAAAACACTGCAGCAATTAATTTTGATAGTGCCGGGGCATCCCCGGACTACAATACTGACCGGGCCTCATCTCATCCCCTCCCAATTTTATGCTGATATTTTTCTTTTTCAGGAAGTGTCAGGTTTATGTTATGCCACTTTTGTCAGAAAATGTCAGAAAAAGGGGCTGGAATGGGATATTCCAGTCAACATGTGAAAAGGTTTGGGCCTGAAGATATGGAAATAAAACTGTAGATTTGCCACCAGTGTTCCAGCAAAGCTCCCGGTGTTTGGTCACACTCCCGTCACGCTCCCGTCACGCTCTTGTCACGCTGATCCGACAAAAATTGCCTATTTTCCTACTAATTTTGCATACATTCGGCATGGTCCGTCACGCTCCCGTCACGGTCTCGTCACGCTCACTTGGGGCAGCGGGCTGCCCAAATTTTCCCGAACACATTGACCAATGCCACACTAAAGAGACACAATGCTCAACATGTTCGTATTTTTTCACTGTCACCGAAAAGAGCACACTTTCAGTGTTCTTGCCCCCTGGTTTGACCATTCAAAAAAAGTTTGAAGGATCCAGCAAGGGCAAAAGCATGCATTTGCATTAACGAATTCCCTCTTTCCACCATACATCAGACTATGTAGAAACGTCAAAATTGAATTGCAGAAAGTCGGCAGTTAAGCACCTAAGCGCGTGCGGGAGTGCAAAAAGTTCCAGTACTGCAGGGGTGCAGGAGTACTTTTTAGTTTTCAGCGCGGAGTTGATTTCGTGACTGGAACTGATTTTGCAGCGTATGAAATTTCGTCTTGGTGCCAATCATATTTTGTCTTGGCGCTTGCCAACTTCTTGCTTTTTGTTCCCACACAATTTATCCTGTTCAATTGTTTGGCATTGTTTTTGATATTCAATTATTTAGCTAAACGATGCCCCCCAAAAAGAACAACTGTCCAAACAAACTCCATAATGTTTGACACAGATTTGTGAAACAAAAATGCAAGCATCTGGACAACAAATTAGCATGTTAAATTTCTGTATGCTTGTTATGGAATGTTATGTTGGGCCATCAGTGACATGTTGCCACCAAAAGCTGACGCGCACATGCACATGTTGCATATTTGTCATATTTATCCTGTTTGGTTGTATGTTGTTCCAGCAGTGTCCTATTTGTTTGGGCTGGAGGTCAGAATCCAGAGCCAGCAAAAAAATGCATCTGCGAAAACATGTGTGTTCTTATCTTATCTATCTTACTGTAAACATCCCTCCCTGACCCAGTATGACGGTAATTACATCCTGTTGTTTGTTTGTTGTGCATGTGTGTGTGTGTCTGTGTGTGTGTGTGTTCCACTGTATGCTGTGTTGTCCCATCTTTTGAACATCATGGTGGCCCCCTCGGGTAGAGGAAATAAAGGTGTTTGTTTAATACTCTACAGCAATTTGTTGTTCCTGCGATGAACTCAAAATCAGTTGAAGAACAAGCATGAGCAGAGGCAAATAAATTTGAGATGCCATGATGCCTGCTTTATCTTTGATAACTCATGCTATAGTTCATGATTTCTCATGGGTTTAGTCTTGCAGGTTCCGGACTATTTATTTGGCTTTCCTTCAAGCTCTCAATTGTATACTGTTTTCTGGACTTTGTTTGGGTGGTTGTCGCTGAAACTTGTGAATATAATCTTTGATTGGTTCAAGATTGGTGCAGGCCTGCAATATCCAGATGTAGCCGTCTTGTGAATTGTCGCGCCTGCAATATCCAGATGTAGTCTGGTGAATTGTCGTATATAGAACATTATGGAACTATATAAAAAATATTAAAAAATGCTCTATACTTTGATATTTTATTCCTTAGGACGTCGGTCAAGACTGACCGACCACTTTTTGGCAACATAATTTTGCCCGCAACTGGATAAACTTATACTTTCCGATAAACTCCGGTAAAATCACTAGATTCCGACAAAAGTAGGACCCAATTTTACGAATGTAGCCTGCAGGAGCCAACATTCCAATGTTGGCTTCTCAGGCCAACATTGGAATGTATGCAAATATTACCAACATGGATTGTTTGGGAATCTTTGGGTTCGATTTGGAATGCCCGTGTCGCCTGCAGCCTTTCCCACGGACTTCATGGTCAGGGCCGCGAACCAGTAGGGGATCATGCAGCCGATGATGAGGAAGGCGAAGGTGGTGGGCTCCAAGATGTTCACGCCCGTCTTCACCCGCAGACGGATCACGAAGGCGCCGTACCTCAGTCGGACGGGTCTCAGGCCGAGGAGGATACAGTAGGAAACTAGCTCCAGGACCTACCCCAGTCCCCGTCCCCCAACACATCCCCGGCCGCCATGGGTTACAACAAATCAACAAATTGAGAATGCCCCAACATGCCCCAACTCCATCCAACTCCAGCATCACCCGCTGCCAGGGCGCAGAGCCAGGGACACCAGGGCTGCCGAGCCGATGGCGAAGCCCTTGCCGATGGCCGCGGTGGTGTTGCCCGCCGCGTCCAGGGCATCGGTGCGGCGACGCACCTCCGGGTTGAACAGCGCCATCTCCGCGATGCCGCCTGGGCCAAGCTGGGGCAAGCTGGGGCACATGGTGCTGAGGAGTGAAAGATTGTGAAGGTGGTCTAGTCTGAATTAAAAGTGTGATCTGGTCTGAAAAAAACGAGGAAAAAGTGTGGCTGGGAGCTATGGGTTTACTCTATCGCCTGCGGTTTCAACACACGGATTGGAGGTCTGGATAGTCAAAAAAGGAGGAAGAACGATGAAACAGATTACACATCCACCCCCGGCACCTGCGTTGTCGCTGATCGGGCCGAAGCCATCGATGGTCAAGCCGCAGCTCAAGGTGGCCAACATGCCCAGGGCCGCCAGCGCAATGCCGTAGAGATCGCAGAGCTGAAAAGACACAAAAATGGCCTCAGCTGTGGAAAAGAACAAATCACTGGCACAAGCTCCCATATAGAAGAATTAGACTATAGCAGAATTATGGCAGCATAAGTATACTTCACATTATTTCACCATATTTCCCCCATTTTCTCTGTGCATCTTTTTGATTACTACAGGTAGGGAACTCAGTTGCAAAAAGATCATAAAAGCCCCACCCCTGGTCTTATTTTGGGCTCTTAAATCCAAAATCCCAGCAGCTTAGCAGCTTAGCAGCTTAGCAGCTTAGTTCAACCATTGCACAATGGGAAAAAGTCCTGGGACACTTTTCTCAGACTCCTCCAGCCAAAAACTATCCAAAAACATCGATTCTTCAATTCTTCAACTTCTACCTGGACCTGGACCCTATACCTTCAATCCAAAATCCCAGCAGCGGAGGAGAGCACGAAAACGGGGATGATGCAGCTCTTGTAGCCCAGCGCCAGGCCCTGGATGATGTTCACAGCAGTGCCGAACTTGCAGGCCGAGGCCAACTCACGCGTGGGGATGAAGGAGTGAGATGTGAAGTACTCGGTCACCAGGCCGATGATCAAACCACCGACGCAGCCCATGGTGGCGCAAATGAAGGCCTCGCAATCTCAAACCCCTGCTTGGGCCGTCCCGCTTACTCGGGGATGTGTTTGATGTATAATCTTGGGGGTTGGCACGAAAGTGGTAGAAGATGGTAGAAGACTCACCCCTTAGAAGCCGCCATTTTGGAGATGGTGGAACTGCGCCAAACTGCCAAACATTTTGGGATGGCTTGGACTGCCGGAACTCTCCAACCCCCCGCCTTGAAGGGCGTGCCATGGATCTCGGCCTGAATGCCATCTTCGTTGAGTCTCACACCCTCCAAGCGGAAGTGCGCCGGCAGCAGCAGCACGGCCAGGTAGTAGATCACGGGCAACATCAAAAGTGCCGTCAGGACCATCTGAACCTGTGCTCGGGCTGAAACTGGCTCACTTGGAATGGACATGTATGCCTGGAGGGCTGAACAGGCCCGCACCTCTACATGCCCTCACCTCTACATACCCTCCCACCAAGGTTAAACATGCTAAAGAAAATCATCTCATATCTGGCACTTTCTGGCACATTCTTTTAAATTCGTTTGCGACGTCGTCCAACACACCCCACCTTCAGCACACGCTCGATGTCTGCCTCGACCTTCACGGGTGCCACATTGGTGGCCACAAAGCCGCAGAGGATGCAGATCACGATGCCCGCAGCGGAAATGGCCACAGGGAACAGCATGGCATCCTTAGTGACGGTAGAAGCTTTCTAGGGTCCGATGCTATTATTCCATGCTCACCATTACTCATCCACAATCATCCATACTCCCCTTCCCCATTGTTATCCATTGTTGAAGGCTTCTGCAGTACCCAACAACAGGAGAAAGTTCATTGCCAGCCATGTCTCCCAGCCCGCAGCTGACAAGGTGTGCTTAGATCCCTCTACGGCAGCAGCCGCGATGACCAAAGCAGCGCAGGTGCTCTCAGCGAAGGATCCAAAAAGATCAGCTCCCATCCCTGCGATGTCACCTGAATTTGCATCGGCTCAGCGTCCTACAAAGACCCCAAACAAAACATGACAAAAATCATCAAAAATCATTGCTCAGCAGGCCCCAGCTGCCCACAGCTGCCCAGAAAAAAAATGACAAGACTTGTTTGCCATTATTTCTCACATCCGGCAGCCTGCTTTTTCTTCTTTGAACTTGCAATCAGTGCTTCACTTGTTCTACCAAAAAAAATGAAAACCAGCTGGTGGCCAATGCATGATAATGCATGCCAATTCACCCACATTGTCGCCCACGTTGTCCGCGATGGTGGCGGGGTTGTTGGGATCATCCTCATCCAAGCCAGCCACAACCTTGCCGCAGAGGTCCGCACCCACATCCGCGGCCTTGGTGTAGATGCCGCCGCCCACGCGGCCGAACATGGCCACAGTGCTGCCGCCCAAGCCGTAGCCTGCCGCGCAGTCGAAGAGAATCTCCCAGTCGTCTGCCTCAGGGTAGACGGTGCGGTAGAAGGTCAGCAACAACCAAAGGACAAACACACCCAGAGAGCACAAGGCGTAGCCCATGACACTTCCACCCCGGAAGGCGGTGTTGAAGCCCTCGGTGTAGCCCTTCTTTGCACAGGCCAAGGTGGTACGTGCGTTGGAGTAGGTGGCAATCATCATCCCAAGGAAACCGCACAACATGGAAGTGAAGGCACCTGTCAAGAAGGCACCTGCTGTCAAGGCTCCCTGAGTGGAGCTGTGCGTGCCCCAAGACACCAAGAAGTAGATCACCAGAGAGAACGCCAAGCAGAAAAGGCAGCAAATTGCATACTCCACCTTCAAAAACTGGATGGCACCATCCATGATCTTCGCATAAATCTCTGGCACCAATTTTTCAGGGACTTCGCCCGTCAATGAAGTGGACAGTTCCTGCTTCTCCGGGTCCAAAGAGATCTTTTTAATGATCAAAAATTGCACCAGGGCGGCCAGTAGGCCGATGATGCATGAGGGGACGATGATTTCGTCCACGAGACCAAAATGCATGGCGTCCGAGTGTGCCAAGCTCGTGGCTGATGTTGGTGGCCCTGATTGCTTCAAGCCAAGACTTGCAAAGTCATTCGATGTTGATTAGCAAGTGAACACTTTGATGTGATCCTTTAGCAAAGTTCGTGTTGATGATTCCCAGACAGTCCATAAGAAAGGCATTTCCACGCCAAAAAAAGGCTTAAATGATGGTGTGATACGCGATGAACTCCCAAAACGCCAACGTGAATGGCTACAATTCGTCTAGTTTCGATGTGGTGCTCCCCAGTTATAAATTGGTGTATCAACCCCATTAACTACACATATATCCACCTTAAACCCTATGAGTCCTATGGTCCTATGAGTTATACACAAACTTAGCTAGCAAACTGGGGCACCACCTCGTAGTTGGCTTAAATTGAAAGTCACCACAATTGACTCCAGCATTGAAAGCGCTCCAGCATTGAAAGTCACCACAACTAGACAAAAGGATCTGCAAGGAGATTCTGGCACAAAGGCAACACATCCCCACTATTCTCCACTAAGCCTGCAACCTGTGCAAGCACGCCGGTATGCAGAAGTTTTGGCCTCGCCGTGAATCTTTGACACCCAAACGTATTGCGAAGGTGCTTGGAAAAGACACGTTGAGTCCAAACATGAACAAACGAGCAAACAGAGGCAGACCACCTTCCACTTGCCGGGAGGTGCCATGCGGACCCATTTTGCATGAGATGTGAGGGTTTCTTGTTGGACCATCACGATCTATTAACATAGAGCAAGAATCCCATCCCCGATCCGAGTCTCCAGGTACGCCTTCAAGTCAGAGATGTCCTCTTGGCACTCCAAGTAGGAGGCCCTCACTTCTTGCGTTGCTCGCCTCTGGCAGCACCATTGAATCAACATAAAATATTTAAAAAAAAACACGCACTTAAATTATCGTCCCGTCGTTTGTATACGGATGGGTCAAAACCTAAGTACCAAATTTTAGACAAACATTCAGAACTACCAGCTATGCTAAGATACCAAGGTTTTGATATGTCGGCAGCCTTAGCTCCTTCCGTTCCGCGGGAACCATTGGACGCGCCTGCCAGGCATGGTGAGACCATGCTGGGACCATGGGCGATCTGGGATGCCCTCCAACAACTTTCATAACCAGGGGGCGTATCCAGAAATTATTGCTATGGTTATGATTTAATATTATAAAAGAAATATATCTATCTATATATCATTATGATTGCTATGGATATAACTCCATAAATAAGTTATTGCTATATAATAAGTTATTGCTATTTCAAAATAGGAACATCACATCCTTGAACACGTGCAAATAGAAAGGAACAGCTTCGGATGATCACTTTCGATGCAAATAGAGGTGCCCCACTCACAGCCTCCCAACGCATCAAAGAACCCTACCCACATCGTGCAGTTTACCGTGATGACTACGTTCAAATCAAAGAACGAAAGCCGATAGGTACATTTGCATTCCAGAAATCATCAACAAATCAATGCAGACTAAACATGACTAAAATGTACTCAAAGTAATTTGTATCTATTATGTTTTGCACAATTTTGCACCAACATATGTCACAGATCATATTCCAGTCACGGAATCGGGTATGGTATGGGTCAGCAATGGGCATGGAGGATCCTCCCACTAAGTGCCGGAAGGGAAGCCTGGTCGGAACCCCACACTAACCAGGTACTAAAGGCATGATCCTCCAAACCCCCGTGGTAACTTAACATAGCTGTGGTATTTTGTTGGGCCCAGTATGCCCATTTAGTTGGATATAGTTGGATGATTTCCCATTTTTATGTTGAATTACCAGAGGGCACATTTTCCGGGATGATGTAGTATGATATTTACCCAATCTCTCCGAGAAACCAACTGTTCATAACTGTTCTGTCTGTAACCGTCCTGAAGTAGATAGAATGAGCCAAAAAAAAAAAATATTCCCATTCCAGTGATGTGTTGTTGAAGTTTTCCACACACAACTCCAGTAAAATCCTATCCTCCGGTAATCAAACATGGCAATTGAATTCCCCTTTGGGTTCGATGATTTTCCCATTTTTCCCAAATATATATATAATTGTCTATCTATCTATCTATCTATCAATCAATCAATCAATCAATCAATCAATCAAAAGCCCATCTCTTTGGGATGTCCCAGGCCATGTTTGATGACACTGGAAGCTTCGAAATGTTTTTTTCGCACCTACGAAAAACCCTGAATCGCCATTATGAACCGCCACTCATCATCACTACTAACAAGTAATAACCATCTATTAATCCCTATTTGCAATTAAACACATATGTATATATATATATATATGTGTGTGCGCCATTGGGTTGTCCATTATTAACCCAACTTCTATATAGTGGTTCATATAGTGGTTCACCATCACCTGGCCGCGTCCTGTCCCACCGTCGCCATACGTCGCCACCTGGCCACCGGGGGGCCATAGCTCGGCATCACTGCGGTAGCTGAATCCTGGAGGATTTGACGAAGCAGGCGGTGCCAGCTCTGGCACTGAAGATGACTGATGGGATCAAAAATGTGAGTTAACGGTCGTCCCATTTGATCCCATTAATGATTTAATCAATGACTAACATCACCCATTGTAGTGATTTTATGTCCCATCATCTAATTTGATATACTATCATGCCATCTGATCAATCACTAGTGATGATTTAATGGGATTTAACTGGTGGTTTAATGGGATTTATTTATGTAACGATGGTTTAATGGAATCCCATTGGCCCTCTGGTAAACTAACATGTCTAAATATGGAAATCACAATTTTTTATGTGTAAATCAACTATTTCTATGGCCATGTTCAATAGCTATGTTAATTTACCAGAGGATAACGATGATTTCATGGGATTTAACGGTGATTTAACGGTGAATTAATGTTATTAATGCCGAATTAATGGGATTCATCATGATTTAATGAGGCTCGCAGGGGTTCAAAGGGATTTTTATTTCACCAACAATGGGAATGTCATGGGATATGTAAAGCAAACTGTATGATTCATGGGGCCTTTGATCATCCATCCCATGCCATGGGAATCCAAAAATAATAGGTATATCAATAGCTATAAAGAAGGATTGACGAGCATTCCCCTTCGTAGATAAACAACCCATGTTTTGACCACATGCAAAGTTTACGGGGATAGTGATATTTTTTGGGGATATAATCTATACGTACATCGATTGTATGGGATACCGTATTTTGTGGGCTAGAGGTGGGATAGAGGAATTTTATGGGATATAAGTATGGGATACACATGGGGTGCGCATCCCAAGTTGAAATGGCTGATGACCATATGGTACAAGAGTCATACAAGGGTTAGCGACATAATATTTATATATATTAAATATATATGGGGTTAGATTTGGGCTGTTAGCCACGTACCAACTGGGATGCAACCTCAAGTTTCGGGGGTATACAGAAGATGATTCTTGACCACAGGATTGAATGCGATGCCCAAAACATGCAATTTCAATTGGTCAAAAAAAAGACATGTTGCCCAATCATTCGGAATGTACCCTGATTTATGGCCGTCAAATTAAAAGGCATAGGGGAAAATAATTTTCTAAACGAGCGGATGGAATGAAGCCTGCATGGAAATAGTAAAAAGCACCAATCAGTAACAATCAAGAAAACATGGGTTGCTCGTGTTTGCTCGGTTGGAAGGTCCTATTTTTGATAGATGCTACACCCACATCATACACTCCCTAAATTTAACATGGAACTTGGAAAATGAAATTCCGAACTTGGGCATGGCACACATATGCATGCCATATGCTTCTATGGATGTCACGGGCTGGTGTGAAAAGATCATGGCAAAACCATGGAAAGCCACCGAACCCCCGCAATTTCATCATCATCCCCCCGCTAAAAGGCGTACTAAAATGGCGAGATCGCACCGATTTCGGCCTGCCGCTTCCGAATCCGCTGAAACCGCCGAAGGTGCAGCTTGAGCTGCTGGAGACATCGCTTGAGGCGCTTTCTGGCCTGAAACTTCGGCTGCTGATGGGACAACTTTCAACAAAATCATGTAGGAAAGGGCCCCACAAATAGGTAACATGGTGTTTAACTAGGCCATCTACCTACGAACTATAATTAATTGATATATGATATCATCGAAGGAAGTTTAGAAGTCAAACTTCCGACAATATGGACAGATGGAAAGGCAGAGGTGAGAAGAGTCAGAGAAGAGAAGAGCAGAGAAGAGAAAGAGTCAGAAGAAGAAGTCGCGAAACACTATGTTTTTTCCAATGGTTTGTGGTCGAAAAGTAGGCTCGCTAAAGCGGCGGTGCGGAGCCATGTGGCCAGATAAGAGATGAAAAGTTGCACGTCGTTGTGGCGCGAAACACATTTCCAAGTCAAAATGTAAAAAGCACACCATTCGCAGACCACCTTTGGAAGTTGAGATGTGGAAAAAGTGCGCACCGTTGTGGCGCGAAGCACATTTCCAAGTCAAAATGTACAAAACACCTCAGTCTCGGACCACTTTAGGAAGTTGAGATGTCGAAAAAGTGCACGCCGTTGTGGCGCGAAGCACATTTCCAAGTCAAAATGTACAAAACACCTCAGCTCCGGACCACTTTTGGAAGTTGAGATGTCGAAAAAGTGCACGCCGTTGTGGCGCGCAGCACATTTTCCAGGTGAAAATGTTAAAAACACCACATGCCCGAACCCCTTTTGAAAGTCAGATGTGGTTTTGCGTGGCAGGCGCAAGGGATTCTGCACCTTGCCAAAAATGAGCAAAACGTGAGGGTTTTGTTGCATTTCCAAAAACGATGGCAAGCGTGGGACATTTGCAGAAGATGTGCAAGGATGCATGTCGCGTGGCAGGCGCGGTACAAGAGACATGTTCATCAGAGATGTTAGGAACTGATTTGCTGAGATAGATTGCATTTTGGAGCATCAGATCTGTAGGTTTGCTAAGATGATTTTGCGTGACAGGTGCAGCATTTCGCATGACCTGGCATCACTTTTTCGTGGCAGTAGCAATACTTTAGAGACATAGACCGGAAAAATCGCAAAACGCAT